GATTCAGTGATATTTTCATTTCCTGTCATACCCAAGCTCCAGAAACAAGGAAGAGGGTCAGATAGCTATTCACTTTATTGAAATCCTCATAAAAGAAAATGTGTTTCCAAACATGGATAATCAGATGTCGTATAAGTTATATTATGTAAGTCATCATAGCCCTTGTCTTGTTTGAGAAATAGATTAAAAATCTTCATGTATGAAAACGTGTTTTCCAAACATTGATAATCAAATGTCATATAAGGTATGTTATGTAATTCATCATAGCCCTTGTCTTTTAGCTTTGGAAACCATTCATTATACAGATGTTATTTCCTCCGAATATGTAAATACATGCCTTACCTGCAGTGTCACAGTCGAAACGAATTTCCATTAAACTTACAATGCATGTTAGTGTACCGGTATGTTGTTTTGACAAAGCTAGACATGAACTTATCCTTGATTGAATTACAGGAAAAGTGTATGATGAAGCCATACAGTTAGTAAAGCATTTTCTTGTTTGTTGTTCAATTTGCTTGGAATTAATATACCTTTCACATTGTATGTTGTTATTCTCTTGTAGGTAAGGTGCTTGATGGATTATGGTGAATTTGAGTCAGAAGATGGCAGTTCAGTTGTTCTGAAGAAAAATAGTCAGGTAATTCACACTTTCTTCTCTTTCTCTTGAGGTTTTGTTACAATATCGTTATGGAGGGCCACAAAATATATTTGAAAATATTGTGTTTTATGTGAAAAGGGAGGACAATTTAGTTGAGTAATTAGGAAGTTTGGGAAAGTCAGAAGCCAGAATGAATACCCAAATTAGTGCTTAAATTACCTGCTAATCAATATCATGTTATCATATCGAAGGTTTGATAATGTGGTTAGCAAAGTGAAATTTGATTTCAGAATTTTTAAAGATATGTTGTTGAAGGGGATCATCGCAAGAAAAAAAAATGCTTACTCCTCTAATGGAGGGGAGAGATTTCTTTGATACAACAGTTTTATGGTCAGTGTCTAACTCCATCTGTTGGAAATAATTATAATTTCATTTTTGTTTTCCCCATCTGTTCTTTCTGCAGCATTTTCTACTGAGATCTCTGTGTGAGCCTCTTATAAGACAAGGTGTCCTAGAGCATATCATGTCATGATGGTCCTCTTACCTCTCTCTTCAAAGAAAGCTGAATGATGAAACGATCAGGCTTCATTAGACATTGATGTGGGATGTCCAAAGAGTGAATTAAAAAGCTAATGCATTAGCTATGGTCATTCAGATTCATACATTCAAACCTGTGTAGGAGCAAGTCCAGTATATATCCCATACGTTATCAAGCACTATTGAATTGAATCATGAAAGAGTAAGCATAAATATATCATCTTTTTTGATGTTTTGTCTGATTCAAGCTCTAGAAGGGCTATCAGCTGATACAGACATCAGATATGCTGAAATGTTAGAAGTGGTAGACAACATACAGGGCAAAATAGTTTGGACTTGCTCATATAAAGACTGCTCAAGAGAAACAATCTTTGTCAACAGGTGGTCTTTATGTTTCAGTGAGAAACATAATTGAAGGAAAGCAAAGGGTGATCTTTATGCACAAGTGATTATTAAAAGCAGGCTAAACTGTGCTTTTTTCATATTATGCCTCTATGTAGTTTATCCAAGTGCCTATGGGAACAGTGGTATATTTCACACATGAACATGTATTTTTTTTAATGTAAACAAGCACAGAATGGCAAAACAAAATATCCAATTGTAAATATATTTATAGGTTTAATTTTTTTCAAGTGAATTTGAATTATGAATGGCACAATTTTAAATGTCAAACAAAATTGGCAGTACAAGTTTTTGAATGTTAAATTCTACTTATATTATTTGTGATTATAACTCGGTTGTTTCCACCCTATCATTTGAAGCTTTTTAAATCGTCTTCCAAATGAAGTGACATATAATAATCCTAAACTAGTTCAATATTGAATGCCTCCAAAAATAAACAGTGGGTACTCAACATTTCTAAGAATTACATTCTTCCTTAAGCAACCTTAACAGAGACCATACAGGTATTTAAATTGTAAGATATAAGATGATACTATAGGCCTATATTTCAAAGGGAAGACTAAAAAGATGTTACATGAGGTGAATTAACATACCAGTGGAATATAAACTATACTTTTGTTTTCCCATTACATGCCCTTCCAGATATTTGTTATTGAAATTGGTAAATAAAAATACTTAGGTTTGCTCTATCCTTCTGTACAGTGCTCAATGTCTGCAGAGCGAAAATATATTGAATAAGGCAGACTAATGGGACATGGTTACTACTCTGAGTTTCACTCCTTACAAGCGATCATCAGGCAACTGATAGCATTCTTAAAAGTGCATGATTACTCTATTACCTGGGTACAAATAGGTATGCTCAAAATAAGACTTGACTAATACAATAAGAATTTATCATGGGAGAAGGGGCTATTGTAACTACTCAGGTACTGCACCTGATCTCTAAACATGTAGGTTATGGGAGGGGTATCACAAAAGTAATCTCCTCCTCCTTTTATGAATTTGTACGTGTAATAATACTGAAGTGTGTAAAGACTTTCCTGATGCCCATATTAATGATATCCAATAGAGTACAGAAGCTGTGACGTCATAAAAATCTATTTTTAGAATTTCTCAATTTTTTCTTCATTTTCCGAAAGAGCATAAAAAATAATGTCCAAATGTCGAAAACCAATTGACTATGTTAAGTATTGGCTATGATATGACCATCTGAATAAATATATGTCCTATGGGAACTTAGTGTTATATGCTCTGGCTCCTAGTGGTTAGGAGCCAGAGCATATAACACTGAGCTCCTATGGGGAGTATATTTAATCAGATGGTCATATCTAAGACAATACTTAACGTATTTAATTGGTTTTTCAACATTTTGACATTATTTTTGATGCTCTTTCGGAAAATGAAGAAAAAATTGAGAAATTCTAAAATTAGAGTTTTGATGACGTCACACTTCACCACTCTATTCAGATCAATATGTACATTGTTGTAACTGTATATAAATGAGTGTATCATGCCTCTCTTTTTCAGACGCAGGTGTATATTGTATTTAGATGCATAGAGGAAAACAGTTATCTTTTTTCTGATTAAATTAATTAAAATGAATTGACTTGTGTCCAGCCGTGATGATGAGTGTGATGATGAGTGTTGGAATCTACATCTTAAAAGTTCTTTTGAATAAAGAATTTCTCTGTGGGTTGGCATTGCCAATCTATGTGTTAATGCATAGTTGGGGTCAAGGGGAATGAAAATGTATGTCCATCATATATTCTACTGCCCTCATCTAATGTGTTAACATAAAGTAAAAAGTTTCTGACATTTTTTGGAAAGAATAATACTTTGAGGCTAGTTGATGCTAAGATATGGATAAATATTGGAGCAACAACCATTGCCTGTGCAACACCTTAATGAGGGTTACTCCATATTTTGAGCATTTCCTTTGGACTAGTGAACCATAAATCAAGCAATAAGAAGACAACATAACTCGTTTTGCATGAGACAACCTTCTCTCTTTTTATTATTCAAGGAGTTTTAAGCAGATGCATTTGGAATTTAAACACAACTCGTCAGTGATACAAAATAAATCACGGAAAGTACAAATTGTGACTCAAGCATTGGCCGCATCATAAAACATAGTATGGTATAATACCCTACCAAATACAAAAACCAAACATGGTAATATGACCAAGGTATCTTTCTCTTCACAAAACACCGAGCGTATGTTGTCCAAAAATTGACTAATAATAAAACATGATTGTGACAGCTGAAAGATACATAGAGACTGAAAAAGGAACACAAAACACTAAAAAGCTAAGATTGCACTGTCTACCCCTTAATAGAAAGAAAAAGACCCAACAAGCTGAATTCCATATATTTGCAGCTTACAAACTAGATACATTCAGCATTCAACCAGGCAAGAAAGTAAAGCATTGGTACAAATAATTCATCATCTATTCTTCAATTTCTCATCCATTCTTAACAATTTAACATTTAAATATGGTCAGTATAAATGGTCCTTTCTTGGTTGTGAGATTTCACTAGAAAACAAAACTTCTTTGTGCAGACTACAAAGACCTTTCTTATAGCACTAGTGTAATTTGACCATTGTGTAGTAAATCAGAAGCTCATTACTAAGAAGCAATGCAATATTCATGCTAAACATGGGTATCGAGCAGAACAGTAAATCAGAGAGGTTTTACATAGCAATATGGCTGTAGATTCATGTATCCATGACTCTGAAGTTTACTATGTACTGGCAGGAATCTAGACAAGGATGGGTTTGCAAAGAAACGTGTTGAAAACTCCACCATATATCATGTGCAATGAATTTGCATATGGTTGTGAAACTTCATTTAGCTTTTTTTCTTTCATTTTGAGCAACTCAGAATTGCACATTTTTGGAACCCAGATCTTACGTCCTCCCCCCGCTCCCCTCCCCCCCCCCCCCCCCAAAAAAAAAAATGTATGGTAAGGTTTAAACATGTGATAAAAACATACAAACACATACCAAATAAGATTGGATGTAAAAAAGATTATCTCTAGCATCTACTTACATGTATATCATTTGTTGGAATGGTAAAATAAGTAAAAATTGGCCAAATATTGATTAGTCCATGGCACTTTACTATGTTTTTTCAAACACTAAACAAATCATTTAAAATGTATACATACTTTTACCCCCAATAGTAAAGGTAACTTTCAACCTCCATTTATAATACAAAAGTGCTTTATGTCCACAAATTTGGTCTAACTTAAGTTTCTCTAGAAAATACTTGCCCCCTTCCCCCTTTTTAAGAAGCATAAGGCCTCATTCAGATATGATGCAGCAAAACCAGAGCAGTTTCTTTTAAGATGATGTAAACTGTAATATGCTTCACATTTCTGTATCTGTTAACACAGAGCTCAGTGAGTCCTTTGTTGCATGCAGGTGCAATTCATATACACATACAATAAAACATGGAGTCTGTTTTTTGGCAGTTTACCGCATCATATCTGAAGAAGCCTCTATTCATTGCTGCCGTTCAAGTCAATAAACACTGGTGAACAAAGGACAGGGAACAGTTTCAGGACATGCAACAGATTGACCAAAAATGTTTGTGGAACTTCAGTCAAAAACATCAGATAGGAAATACATAGCTTTCTGCTGTAGAATAAATAGGTTTGACAAACTGAAGAGCACCACAATATTTCAAATATCCACAAAACTCTAATATACAAAACATATCTGCTAACTTCGGAGGACAAATCTACTTTACAAAAAGAAGTTACATCATATTGTAATATTCAAATGTTTCTGTTCAATTTGGTATGCATGATCTCTAGATTAATTAAGACATAAAGCTAATGGTTTTAGAGACACCACTATCAGTGATGGCTTTTAATAATGGCTTTCAACCAAAAAAGCTTACTTAATATTTTACTCTCCCTGATCATGTTTTTTCACTAAATGTTTTTTTCTTTCATTTGATTTTGCTCAATGTAGTTTTTGCTTAATTTGATAATTTTCAAAGATATGAAGTCCTTGAGTTGAGGCATAATTACTAGAGTGCCTTTGATCTTAAAAAGTTTCTTAATCTGAGCATACAATACATTACAATTCTAAAAAATACTGAAAGAATCCATTTAATAAATTGAAAATGAAAGACCCGTTATCAAAATTAAATTGATTTCATAATGTGACTTATCAGTTTTACCTTCATATGACGTAAGAATACAAAAATACAAATCATATTTCTCATTTGTGTATTCCATATGAGCAAATTCCCTAGGCAAGAAAACTTGTTATTTGGGCAAGCATTATGAAATAATTGGACCTCAAGTTGAGAGTACCAATCATATGCGTACAGTTAAATGACAGAAAAAATAACCTCTATCTATGAATGATAGTCATTGCATTATTTCTCCAAATGATTACTAATCTGAGTTGTATGAAGTTGCTATAAAAGGAGTTTATGTTAAGGATTTGTTGGGCTTATACTGTAATATCAATTGAATGAAATACCCAATAAAACATCAAATTGAAATCACTTTTGGGCGCATCATTAAATAGTCTGGTAAATAATTCATAATATAGGAGGCTACAATCCTTTTGACCATATCCTATTTATAAAAAACAAAATTGTATCAACTAAAAGGGTGATAGATAAACATGGGAGTTGAATTAAACATTATACCTCCTTTCTAGTTCAATATCTTAAAATATGTGTACATTGCAGCTACATCTTCTAAATATGCAATTTAAACCACATAATTGCATAGAGTAAATAATAAGTGATAAAGGCAAATAATACTAAAACTGGATTTTTTATATAAAAAAATGCACAATATTTTATCTACTACTATTAAAGTTCTTCATTAGCTTCATGTTCTGTGTGCTTATTTTGAAGACACAAAACTGATGTCTAATTTAGAAAGGAGAGAATTTTAACATGGTATAACTTTGGGGTAAGAATTACACGTAGGACATTGAATACCAATGTCTATACACAACCATAAAAATCTCAGAAGATTCAAAGATTACTGTGTTTGTCATGATGCCACTTTATCAAATTTTGAAAGTGTCAATCTCATTCAATAATGCAAAATACAATCGTTTCTCCTTTCTTTCTCCACTAGTATTCTCTGTCACAAGTTCTACAACACAACAAAAGAAGTGTCCTAGAACAATATAAGTGATTCTTTCTTTCAAAACCAGGAGTTTGTAGACTGCAGCATCCCAGCAATACTCTTCTCAATAGGATGTACCGGTAAAGATGTTTGCTACTAGACTTCTGCCACAAAAGTGATCCTTTCTTTTCAATTTTAAATTCTCAAGCAAAAAGAGAACAATCACAGAAAACTTTCATATCACAATCTTTATATGTATACAAATATATCTAATTAAATTTCTTAAGAGTTGTACCTTCAAAATGCCATACTTTCTTTTAAAACAAATTGTAAAATATGCCTGGTTTTGACAGAAAGAGTCATGTCTTCATGAACGGTTAGCATAAAATTTTACATCACACAGCTAAATTCCAATTATACAGCTTTTTAATGAGAGATGTCGTACAATCACCACACAATCAAATCCAACAATACATTATACTCAACAGAGATTTATGGGGTGTAAGAAGAGGGGAGGGTTGTATTTTATGCCACAAATTCACAAATTAACAAAATTGATTAAATTCTTCATCTCATTACCAAATGCGACCAACAAAATATGAGCAACACTCAATAAAACCACTAATTTATATAAAAAACAATAAAAATGAAGGAAAAATGTGTGCATACTTTGACCATTTACAGATAAGAACACAACATTATACCAACTTGTCAACTCCCTAATATGCTTTGACCATATTTCCTGATAATAATATCATACACTCAATTCTACATACACACAAAAATTTACTACACTCTACATCAGCATAAAACCCTCACATTTTGTCTTATGAGGGATTATATATTGCACAAAAAAATGTTTAAAATGTGACACTGAAAGATTTCACCAACTTTTAAAAAAGGGAAAGAAAACTTATTCTTCCAACTGGTGCCGTTTATCCGCAATTTGTCCCGCTTCCATTCTTGCTCTGTGGTTGTGCGAACCTTTTATGCACGCTTCAAGTTTGTGCGAAATACATCAAGTAGGCATCCATAAAAACCAATCTCCATTGTTACAAAGCCATCGATGATTCAGTTCAAATACTTTTCAATCATGGGTGATGATACATTGTGTTTTATGTTTCTTATTTTGTTTGTGTTAATATGTAAGTCTTGTAGTCATTGCTCAACGTTCTCCAGTGGCAGAGGTCCATTTACGAATAATTTTTTTTGCGAAGGCACACAGCTATGTCTGTCAAACTTCCGGCGCAGTGATGTATATATAACTATATTCCCCTGACTTGATTTGCACTGTTTTCGGAGATGGACAAAATGTATTTTGAATAAATACAGCCACTTCTCTGTATCTAATGCATCCATCGATCTCATGTTTGTTTCCTTTCAACAAGCCGGTATTCATTTTTGCTGATAAAGGCGGCTAAATTTCAATGCAAAGACCAGTTGTGTCATTGCTTGGCATCTAGTTGGCAATCATATCTTGAGTTGTATCCACTTCTGTCTTCAAGTCCATCAACAAAAAACAAAAACTATAACAAAAAAATTACATATAAATATATATATAGTTTCCATTTGAGTCCAAACCAACAGAGACTCTGGCAAGGAATATTGTTCTGAGGCTTCAATTTCTTCAACACAAAAAATATGCAGATAAATATCGGTTTATGTTCTCCTGGTAGCTACTCCTGACAGTGAGTGAAACATGCAATCAAGCATTGCTGGCTGACTACACAAAATAATCACTGGTTTCTCATCTAGGTCAAAGAATGATGTGTGCTCATCAACGATGAATCCTATTCCACAGTCAAATGTGAAATCACTGTTGGGAGGAGGAGGAGATGTAGGTATATACAGTACTGGCTGAAACACAATCTATATCCATGTGGTATAAATAAGAGAAAATGATATTTAGACAGCTATGCCAGGCGTGAAGAACCAAAGACTTTGAGGACAGAACTTTCTTCTTTCTGACACTTGAGAGGTGAAGCACAATCCTCCACAGCACAAAAATAGAAGCACCCTGCTTGTTTGAAGGACTAACAAGGGTGGGCTTTCTTCATGTATCTTCCTGGTACCTCAAATAGTTGTCATGCTTTAATTGAAGGATGACCTGTTTGAAAGAGATTCTATACCAGTAGCTTGTGTCCAATACTGATGCTCGGAAGTTTTCAATCGTGCTGGTTTTACGTAGACATCTAATACAGAGATTTGCTGTCTCACTGCTATGTTTTCTGGAGTCCATATCCTTTGTGATATAAGTTATCTTCAAGAGAGTTGGGGTACCTACGATATGACCCAGACTGAACATCTCTGCTCTAATTGAAAGTGTATGATGGCTTTACTACAGGTTTGTCCACACACAAAAGAGACTAGTCTCATAATTCTTTAGTAACTGAAAGCGTAAATCCTAGAGAGCACATAGACATGTGTGGCACACTGGTGCTCTTCCAAAGCTAAGCTTCGCTTGATTCCATAAAGACGGGTGATCACAGAGTGCTAACACGGTCCATGTGCCTGACGGGACTCAGTTGTAGGTGGGTTGAGTTGTTGTCCGGGGAATTCCCTCCTGGTGCGGGGTCGTTACCTGCACCCAACTGTGCCTGCTGGTAGGCACTCCATCGCTCATCGTCGCTTTCATGGGTCAGGTAGCGTGAGCCGACTATTGTCTCCAGGTCACGTAGATCAAGCCATACTTGATAATCCTGCAATTGGGAAATCATTTGTATTAATTCAAAGACTATATCATGTAACATTGGAAATCAAAGACACAATATCACAGCTCTAGGCTGGTTTCATTTTGTTTTTAGAAAGAAAAAAAATTAGCTAACAAATTTAGCTCAATTTTTTAGATAGCATTGTAATATGCCCCGGTTTACATCCACCTGAATTTTTTTTCTGAGTGTGTTGTCAAAGGGGATTTAAGAAAATTACATTCAAAATTTGAGGTTTTGTCAAAGTTGTCCATGTGTTGCTTACCTGTAACCATGGGTGTGCTAGAGACTTGTCTGCTGTGTAGCGTTTCCTTATCTTGACTTGCAGGAGATTCCGTATGAGATCAATGGCTGCAGAAGATAAAGAGTTGACAGAGGATTTGTGAAAATACACCAAAGCTTCAATAACAAATAACATGACATTTCAAATAAAGCTTCCATAATACATTCATATTCTAACAACAAAATGCAACAATAGTTAAAATGCACAACAAGATACTGTTGATGGGATAAGATGACTCTTGGTGTAACTAAAAATCTTTCTACTTCTGCAGAAAGGGTCACTTCCAATTGAATGTTTTATTGCAGAACTTAGATTCAATACAAAAGATGCTCTCCACAATGTGAAGCTTATTGAGCATTCCCTGACATAGCACCCAAATACATGTAACCCTCAGACTCCACCCCTAGATATGTTACCAAACTCAACAGGGAAATTGAACAGTTTGCCACCATTGGATTCTAGGAGAAACACTGATATATTGGGATATATCTGTAATCTGGTCTATGGTAGAATGCTATCAATGTGAACTCACCTCCTTCTGATATCTCGTTCCATGGGTTGGGTGGGAACATGAATGCTGCATTGTGGATCTGATCTGTGATCTCTTCATCTTCGTTGAATGGAAATGTACCACTCAAACTGTGGGAGATGAAAAAGGAAACACATGAATGCAATTATCATTACACATGCTCACTTATAGGGAAAAAGGAATGAGTGTTCTACAAAAAAAGTTATAATCAATTGCACATGCCATGTGAATATCAGCTGGAGTTATATAACTGTCATTCAGTATGACCAGATCCGGATACAAGCCGATATACCAAAATTGATGTATTTGACCAGTAATTAGTAATACATTTTATGAACCAGGGATTGGATTATTTGACTGTTTGAATGTGTTCATGGCAAATTCTATCACCTTTTGCATCATATAGCTTACTCCTTAACTCCAAGTAAGGGTTATTAAAGTGGTAAAAATCAAGTTTTAATGATATGACAATATGTTCTTTGTAATGGCTCTATCTACATATGCCTATTAAAGATGCTGTGCGAAAATGCAGTGCTTACCTGACATAGACAATGACACCAACAGACCACATGTCTAGCGAGCGATTGTACCCCTTACTCCTAAGCACCTCTGGGGCCAGGTAGGCTGGGGTGCCTACCACAGAGCGCCGGAATGATTTTTCACCAATGATACGAGCAAAACCAAAATCACAAAGTTTCACCTGTTGTAGCATAAAAAACAAACAACACATAAGAAATGGAATGAGATAACGCAAGTATATCCTAATACTGGTACTTGAGCTGCATGAGAGGAGATTTATACAATAAAGATATGGTAAAAGGGTATAAATACTATATAGAAATACATTTATAAAGCACATGATAAACTAAAGAGTCTCTTTAGTCACTAAAGATATTCAATTATAAGGGAGGAGGGGGCATAAAACTGAGGGATCAGATATATATTTTGAATATCATTTACAAATTAATAAATAGATGGTAAGTGGTGGATAATAATTTTGCTAATGTTTGCACATTGAAAACAGATGATTAAGAAATAAACTTAGAAACTGATTAGTTCACCTGAGGGAAATCCCCATCTGATGAGAGTAGAACGTTCTCTGGTTTGAGGTCACAATGTACGATACTCTTAGAGTGAAGATACTTCAGGGCAATCAAGATCTGAAAATTAAAGAGCAAAATTACAAAATCTGTGAAAAAAGCCATATAAAATATCACAAGCACAAACTTGCTTCTATATGGCTGACAACAAATTGGTATATGTTTTTTTATGAAAATCATTATCTTTGAAAAACGTGTATTGCTTTTGTATATCTGATTTAATGTCACACACAAATTTGATCAAAGAGCACTGTCGCAGAAAGTAAACACCAAATATGTGAGATCTGGTTTGATATGAATGCATGTTATTCTCAATAAATGTTTCATTCTACACATTCATATCTAATGATTACATGATCTTGTTTTATCAATGTATTTACAGAATAAAGGCACTTTGTATCGGTTGAAAAAAATTACCATTTTGTATTCCATACATGAGAAGAAGTTAACCCATTGAGTTGGCTATATGTATTATCTGACCTGTGATATGAGGAACCTTGTGACCCTCTCAAAGAGTCTGCCATGAACACTGGACAGGATCATCTCCAGCATGTCACCCTTGAGCTTCTCCATCACAACGAAGACACGCTCTGGAGTCTCAAACATCTGCTCTAGGTTCACCACACCAGGATGACGCACTTTCTGCATGCAGAAGGGAATATAGGAGTGTGATGAGAGAGAGAGGGAGAGAGAGAGAGAGGGAGAGTTAGACAAGAAGAAGAGAACGAAAGGGAAAGACAAGGGAAGAAATGGATCAGCATTTAGTTTCATCAACAATTAAGATATGCAGTTGGATGATCTTAATCAATATGAACATACCCCTCTACATAATAAAATGAAGGATATCATAGTATGGTAGTTCTAGATTTCTTTTTGCTCATAATAATTCCAATCAGCCCCTAAACTCACTTTCCATACAACTCTCCTAGAGAGAGATGAGCTGCCAAGACACTAGGCAGACCACTTATTCTGACTCCCTTTAACAAGGTTATGTTGCTTAATCTCTGAAGAAAGAAGAGCAACCCATTCATTAGGACATGGGTATCCTGAATGTATTTAATACACAGCTCAATTCACTCTTTACTATGTCACAGAGCACTAGAACAAAAGAATTTTGTTCATGATAGGTCTGGGTATCAACCCAACTTAAGCCAAAATCTATAAAGACGGGCTTCATAGATTCAAAGCAGATTAGTGAGATTAGGTTGTAGGTTTGCCCATACAGTAAAGCAATTAGTCACGAAGAACAAAGCCAAGTATGACCATGGATTAGGTGATAACAAACAGGTGACCAGAAAGCATTCTACAGATTCAATCTTATTCGTATGGTACAACAATGTTTTTAAAAACATATATCACATTTTAGGCTAAATCACTATAAATCTCTTCATAAAGTTCATGTAATACCAACATGCATCAACTAGGATGCTTAAGTAGTTACAGAACTAAAATTATATGTCCATGGAATGTTTGAGTGAAGAATATGTCTTGTATAGCAATAAATATTGAAATGATCCTCATGGATACAGAAGTCATTCCAATGACTAAATTTGATTTTATACATGGTATGTGTTTCATTACAAATCGCATCTTGGCCTAAATGATTCTGCCAAATCTTTATACAGTATATATTTGATGACTGGATATTATATTGTCAGACTTACATGTAAGATGGCCACTTCATTCTTGAGTTGAGTTTCTTGTTTGGTTGGAAAGCGAAACTTGTCAATAACCTTGATTGCCACTTGCCTTCCTGAAGTTCTGTGTACACCTGAACAAATGAGACAATGAAGTGGGTACAATAATATATCACATCAACTAGCACAAAACAAATTACAGTATACTTGCTGCACAGTTCTGACTGCTAAACCGTTTGAAAATTCAGCATTTAAGGTGGCAAAAGAAGTTACATTTCAAATAATAGACTTTTTTTAATACCCTTTTTTAAGATTCTAAAAGACAAAGTTTTCAAAATGTTAACAAATAAACCCTTCATAAAGTTTGAAATGAACATTACAGGTAATAAATTACAAATATAACAAGTCAAGTTCTTGACACATTCCATTAAGTCCTCCATACATATTGTGACATATATTTCAAGGCTGGAATTTAGTAACCCAACAATAAATTTTCTGTATACATCTTCTTCTTTTTTAAGTGAGAAAATTTGACTTTGGACTTACCTCCATAAACAATTCCAAATTGTCCTGATCCCAAGATTTCATCTGGGAAGATCTGGTAGTGCTGACTGATGTCGTTATTTTCTCGTTTGTTGAGAAAAGATGGCTCTGAGACCTTTGCGGGGAAATCATCTCCATTTTCTGTGGCATTTACTGGACCTTGATAGGAGGAGGAACAATTTGAATGGTTGATATAGTTAGTTCTTGCAGTGGGTTTCTTATAAGAATCCTGAAAAAGAGATTGACTAGTGGATACAAGGTGATAGAGAGGGCTGGAAGTATTTGTCTTGTGGTAGTTAGATGGAGCATGCTGTCTGCGGTTAATGTTCAATAAATTCTCATTGCAAATTGGATACAATGTATGCCAACTGGACATCTGTTTCTCATTTGTTGTGGTAACCTGGCAAGGCATCTGACATGTGCTAGTAGTAGTGTGTTGCACCTGGGTTGTCTGATTCCTTGTGGATTTCTCCTGGGAAAACTGACTGTGAAGACTGCCATGTTGAAGATAATGCTCATTTTGGACCTGTCGTTCCAGAGAAAGATTTCTGAAGTTCTGCAAGGTGTTGCTGTTGAATTTTTCCAGGCAGAACTGATGATCAACAACATGTGACTGACTACACCAGATGCAAGGAAGGAACTGATCTCTGGTATTGACTGGAAATGACTTCTCTGACCTTCTGAAACTGCTCCATGGAGGCTTGGCAATGATCTTTGAAGGCACACAGTAGTTACTAGAATAGTCACTAGTCGGAGACGGACCATGGTTATCAGCATATCCAAGCATCTTCAAATAATTTTCTCACAGCATCAGTTAGTTAAATGAGGTATTAGTATAGTCCTGATAATATTCAAGAGAAATGTTGTATATTCGCTGTAACACCTAACAACCAAACCCAAGATCAAGTCCTGAAGTGTATTCTATTCTTGAAACTCAAAGATTAAATGATCAGATCGACTGCTCCGAAGAATCTTCGCATGATTGATAAATATGCTTAAGTCAATATGCAGGTGTAAATGCAAGTGTAGTTAGAATCAGAGTAACCATGAGTTAGAGTAGCCAAGATGAAATTAGAATGAATAGGATATAAATGAAGTAGATAGATAGGTGTGTATATTCATTCAACCAATCAGGTTACCTCTCTAAAGCCCATGCTACTTAATGAGTCAATTGACAATGTAAATAGACCCCTATTGTTTGAATTGCCTTTATACCAGGTGGATGGGTACAAGCTACTGGTGGTAGAATAAGTGCTTTGTGTATCCTCTGGGTCTGCTGTCACTTCAATATCATAAAAGGAAGTGGTTCAATGTACTTAATAAGGAGATCCTGGTTCACCATGGTTTAGGGGATAGTAGCAATTTACACTCTTTTATCAAGGAAACCCATTTAGATCATTTCTTTCTTTCAACTGTAATGACCAAGTCAAAAGACTAATGTGGCAAGATGCAGTGCATGCAAAGTCTCAAGGGAAATCACTGGATGATTGATACCAGTACAATGTTGGTAGTACCAGCTTCTTTAGTAATTAACCACTCTGCTTGTTCATTATAGAGGTATCTGAATGCTTTCCATTGTTAAGTTTTAGATAAATCCTCTTTCTTAAAGTTGGGAAGTTTAATGCTTCATTTCTTAATACAACCTTACATATATCAAAGCCTGATAAGCATTTCTCATTTCATTGCTTTAGATTTGGGCTGTCATACAGGCAATGCACAATTCAGGCAGTTGTTTTTAAGAATACATGCTCATTTCAAATACCAGGCATAAGAGAAGCTGATTTGGCACAGAACATGCAAAATATTGACCTCTATTTGAACAATTTGCAGTCTTTCTCTCCCAATTTGATATTCTATACTTTGCTGTTATTTTTCAAATTGATGATCGTAATGAAATGGTAAAGATATTTACAATCTGCTCACAATCTGGAAAATAGTAATATATCATGCTCATGCTCCCAATTCTAAGAACAAATTTCCATGTTTGCTCAATTATTGACTAAATTTCAGATTTCCCCTTTTAAGTCACAAAAGCAGATCCATAAATAACCAGATGCCTAACATTGCACCCCCCTATAAGTTGATTCTTGAGCTTGCACCTGTCTGAAGGGTTCCCTCTATCTACTCTAGCAGTCACCATGATACCGGGTTAGCAAGCAAAGCACCACTCTAAATTCTGTTCTTGTTTTTACCTTCTTTGCGCTCTTGACGATGATGGGGGTTATAACCTCTGGGAATTTGTATTACAGAATCATTTCCTGAAAGATACACACATCAGAAATTTCATGAGCATTCACATACTGCAACTTTTGTAAAAATTTGATTATCACATATTCCATAACAAAACAAATATCTTCACACCTCTAGTGACATCTGTGAGAGATATCCACATTACATCTTTGCAATACTTTAAGTCTTTAAGATCCAAGAAATGATCATTTAAAAAATATAAAGTGTTAAGTACCTATGTAGGTTGCGATGGAAGAGCGTATTTACTGACAAAGCTGTAATTTGTGCAGTACTTCACTTGCATTGACATTTAACAAGAAAAGCAGTGCTTTTGACATACAGAAAGAGTCTTAAAAGAGAGAAAGCTTTAGATTCACTAATCAGCCAGGATGAAGTTGAAAGTACTGAAGAACATGGACGTAGACGAGGTGAATTGACGCACTTTCTTCATGCACTGGCATCAAATCATATATATGTAAGTTCATGGGATGATTATAGTATGCATCATCCTCACAAAAAAGCCGACCCTGTCTTTACATAGACAGATTATGAAGTTCTCAAATATTAGGAGCATCTTCCACACCAAACGAGCTTTGAAATAATTGCTGCTTAATTAATATATAGTACTCAATTCATCTCGCATCAAGTACAATACCACATGGTAAAACACTGTTCAAACTTTATTAATTAGGTATGCTAAGATTCAAACAAAAGTCAACAAATAAATCAGTTATATAGCTGGAGTAAACTCCACTACCTTTCCTCGCCCATTTTTGGTTTATATATATATATATATATATATATATAAATATATGAAAGCTCCTTTTTCATTTCAAATGTATCATTTTCTTGTGGCTACATGTATATTGTACTATGGTAGAATTTTTACGGCGAAAGAGAAAAGTATTCTCAACATGTACAGATACGGCTCAGTCAAAAGAAGTTTCATCATCTCAAAAGAGAGAGAATGAGAGAGAGTGCTTTGTTTAATACACAGCAATGTCTGGCGAAGCAGCATCAGCAGGACTCAATAAAAAGGTGAAGAAAACAATGTGTAATCTACTACAAAGCGCACTAGCTCAGTGCAGTGATAGTCATTTACAATGAATAGTTGAGGAACAATAATTCTATTCCACCAATCGAAAGCACAAAACAGAGGACGACAAGCAAATCACCCTCCAGAATGTATTATTCTTGCTTTATGAAATGACCACAGAAAGAAGGCTAAGCAATCAAACATATATTTCTCACAATCATCTAAATGAGACTGCTACATGTACCTGCACTTGCTACAATACTTTTTCTTCTTTAAACAAGCAATATAATGGGATTCAAGGCTCAAGTTCAAAATTAATTTTGAAGCAAACTGTTTTTTCTTCAAGTTACAAACTTGGTATTATGTGGATAGTTTTTTTCTTAAGAATCTAAGAGACACACAGCCATACATATTTTATTGCTAGTATTTTTGCTGACAACTATTGATAATGGAGCAACATCGCATTCTAAAATTCCACATGTATTCAATGTATGTGATGGAGTGCACATGTATGAAATTACAGGCCAACCTGTAACCCAGTGCAAATAACTTACACTAAACTAAGAGCTCTACAACTTATCACATGAATTTCACATAGTCAGATAATTCAACAGCACAAGCAACCTGCTCATTGGATAAAAAGAGCAGCTCAGAGAGAGAGAGAGAGAGAGAGGGGGGGCATAGTGCTTACATGACATCTCACTTCAATGCTAAAAAAGCCCTTTAATCTATTCACAATGAGGAAGACTTTGTGCAAATAGCTTCTTTATTCTTTTATCAAAATAAAAACATGTATAGAGCTTTTAAATTATGAATACAGTACATACAAAAGTAAGTTCCCCCCTCAGCGACTCCTCATAATATTGGAACCATATGTTTTGAACAAATGTACCTAAAAGGGACAGACAGCCAGGGTTCTCTTGCAATTTTTTGTGTAAAAATCAGAGATATCCATCAAGTCATGCTTGAATAAACACACTCTGGAGACAAAATAACTACATCTCTAAATTCAAAAGAAGGATGTCATTTCTTTAGTGTACTGAGAGATAGTCAGATTCATGACGGTCGGCACTGTGTATGCAACGAACTTGTTAATCTCCAGTCATCATGCTGACCTTGAAACATTATTTCACGGATGACCGAGAACAAGTTAAAGGAAACATAACAAAACTAAAATGTTACCTAAGTAGTGTCCTTAAAAGTGATATTTACAAGAACATGCAGACTGTTTCCTCAATGAAACTGTAGTAATGACACTACCTCAGTAAAATGTTAGTCTTAGTTATGTTTTCTCTTAAGTTTTGCCCCGTCAACCATAAATATTTGATTCAAGGTCAAGAGGGTATCAAGAGATCATTAACTAGCCAAATACAAACACACATCACTAACATTCTAAATATAACCGTCTCTCAGGATACTAAAGAAATGGCTTCAATCTTGTGAATTTGAAATGTTGCTATTTTGTTATTAAAGCATGCTCATTCAAGCATGACCGAAACCTCTGATTTTCACACAATGCAACCACAGGCACAGTCCCTTCTAGGTACAGATGTTCAAAACTTTGCAGTTCAAAATTTATGAAGAGTTGCTCAGGGGGAACTTACTTCTTTCATTTTAGACTGAAATCTATCAAGAACAAATATTTTTGCATGTGCTCACGATGTAATCCTAAACAATCTTCTGTACATACGCCATGGAAATTATCATGATTTCAGTTTTTGGTTTAACGAAGTAATGATTATATTTAGTTTGCTGAAAGATGAACTAGAGTTTTCAACACCAGATAAAAAACAGTAATCCCCTTACATATTTTCTATGTTTTCTAGCGATATCACGATGATGTATAGACATAGCCTGAATGTAAATCAACAAAATCTCTTCAATCTGATGATCATCTTGGGTTTATATTTATGTCCCATGATTAGTATAAAATGAATGTTTCCAATGAAGATGAAGGTTACAGCTATCAGGTACCACTGGTTGAATATCGTTGTTATACTTACTTGGACTAGAAGTGCTAGTGATACTAGTGCCACTTTGCTGAGGAGTGACAGGCATAAGGGCCTGCCGGATCTTCTGTTCCCAATCTCTGGCCACATCCGCCCCGACCCAGCTCTGTTCAGGCTCCTCATCCACCGATGAGCTCGATGGCACAGGCAGTTTGGAGCTGGAGGTGGTACTGCCTCCCGACCCCTTCTCGGAGCTGCTATCCCCTAGTGAAGCTCTCTCGCCCACATAGTAGTTTGTCTTGGCAGTCTGTATCTCGAAGCAGTGAGTGGAGTTGAATCCGTCTCCTCCTACCAGCCCGGAGATGCCCATACCACTACTGCTGCTACCACTACCACTCCCATCCTGAGATGGTTTCACCATCCTCACAGACAGGATTTCAGACAGTGGAATTTCCTGAAAAATATGACAGAAATATTAGCAATGACAGGTTCATTTTTAACTTGGTAACTACATCCAAGTTTAAAGTATGCATCCGCTAACATTCATTTTAGTTTATAATTATTTTTTTTTGGGGGGGGGGGGGGATGGGGGTGGTTATAAAAACACAGAGCATCTGATTACATTTTGAAATTTAATCTTCATGCCAAGTGTCACACTCCTTTCAGTGCCCAGCCCTGATTGAGTACACATTGCCTTTGCTCGATGGACCACTAACTTACCAGGACATGGAATGAGAAGTGTTTATTTTCATTGACCTCTGATCCTGACCTCATTAACTCTCATGCTAAATGGCATTAAGGTTACAGCTTGTCCTCAGAAGTTTAAAGATATCACAGTTCTAAGAGTTGCATCCCATGATCTAATAAAACATTATCCCCAAGTTGTTTCAATCTAATTACCCCTTGTGATACATGCCACTAAGGTTATTGTATACTGATAAACAATTCTTAAATAGTGCACATCTTAAATACTTGTGGAGGTATGAACATTAAGAGAGGACGAGAGCCCTCTGCGGATGGCTAAACAGCTGCTCATGCTTTTTGACACCAGATTAAGTTACAAAGACATATACCTGTTAAATGCACTGTTTGCTATTGCTTTTTATTGAAGAAAAAAATGAGCCTATTTAAATCAGTTTTAATTGTCATGGTTGGAAGAAAACTCCTTGAAATATGAGACACAAGCCAGATCAGAACTAGTACTCTATGATCACTATAAATTTAAATACACAGACTACACATAAACCCCTTTAAAAAAGTTGGAAACTCAAGTTTATATCTTTCTTGTCATGACATAATTATCGCTTTGTTTAGTATGATTGGAATATATGATCATTAGATGCTGCTTGTAAGTGTCGGCTTGCATGGTGATGTAGATATACAGTAGGTTTGCGGTTAGCACCATGTGTGAGAGAGAGAGAGAGGTTTGAGGAGTCTGACTATCCGTCGTCAGGATGACGGATAGTCAACCTGTTCGAAACGTCGAGCCACTCATCCTCTCCAAGCGCTCTAGTTCTCCTGAGAACTATATGCTAAGAAAGATAACAAACAGCCAAGAAAGATTACCCAGTCAGAGTCCTTTTCAGGACTCCTCAAACCTCTCTCTCTCTCACACATGGTGCAACCGCTAACCTACGGTATATATGATCATTGTTTTTTAAAATTATACCATATTTGTTATGATTTTGCAGCCATGGAGGGAGCGGTACATCAAAATAAGGGACAGGGTCAAAAGTGAAAAGTTACAAAATGCAGTGGTAAGCACCAGTATTGTTATGCAGTGCATTTTGCAACAATTTTGCTTTTGACATTGCCCCTTATTTTGATGTAATGCGCATTCCATGACTGAAAAATAATAACAAACAGGATATCATTTTAAAGGGGAACAAACACACTTTCTAATTATACTAAACATATTAATGATGATGCCATAAAAAGAGAGATATAATCAATCAAACCTGAGTTTCCAAACTCATTTTGAGGGGTTTAGAAAGTGACTTCATGCCTATTGTACATACCTTATAATATCTGGTGCTGCTCTCACTCTGGTACAGAGTAATAGCCTTAGTGTCTATTCTCCAGTAATGTCTCTTGCGCTGTGGGAGAGAAACATACAAAACATTGCAACATCTTTATTTGAAGCCAGACATTTGATTGTTGCCTGCTATTGATAAAGCTGCCAATGTTGCTATTTTCATGTCAGCAAAATAACAAGTAAAGCCACCAAAGAGCCATGAAAGCAGTGCCGGCTTTCCTTACAATACTTTTTAATCTAACGCTAACGAACATCGCACCTTCCTTGGGTCGTCTTGAAGAAACACCCTACCTGAACCCCTCCCCATCAGGGGCACTGTCCAATGACCCCTCCCCATTCCCCAAGGGGCCCTACACAGCCCCAGACCCCTCTTCCTCCCTCTGGTTGCTGGCTTGTCTATTCAATTTCCCTGCTATCAATCATCTTAGTAAGAACCTTGTGAAACCTTACAATCTGTGAGCAAAGCTTTTGTCATCTCAAATGTCAAAAGCAACTTTTTTTGACGTATTGATATCTCTTCCAGACACACAAACAAATAAAATCAGAAGGTCATTAGATGCATGCTTCACAATTTTGTTTTCACTAAGGCTCATTAATTCAACAAATAGGGAGAGAAAAAAAGAAAATAGATACCATACACAAACCCATCAATATACAAGTATTATGTATACAGGTAAATCTCAGATCATTATGCAGATGAAGTCCAGTTTTGTGGATGTTGTGACTACAATATTTCATATCTACTATGAGGATTTTTCTTTTTAAGCTGAGTGAATTCACAATAAGGCTGCAAAAACCCGGTTCACAGAATGCCTTAGAGGGCACTTTAATATTAAAATGTATAATTTCTTGACAGTTTCCTTTCTATCATTATATTTTTTACAGGGGAGGGGGGCTGACACTATGAAAACTTGACTATCAATTTAATTTATAGATCCATCAGACTGAAATGCTAAACTATATCAACAATTGTTGGTGGACAGAATGATTTGTTAGGCTTTGATCCCACGACAGGGATCTTGCCAGTGTATCACACTTGGTGCTAATACTAAATGTTGGGGACTTAACGAACAAACACAAGGAGCGAAATCTCTCATACAGCATTAATAAGTATATCAATACCTAATTTCAACCTTTAAAACCTTTGATCCTCCAAAATCAGCCCTTTGGATGCTACAAGAACATATTTCCTTCAATTAAGACCAACAAAAATATGTCAATGCATACTTTCAGCATCTGATTTTGCTTTGGTAATCTAAAACATCCAAAGGGATCCAGCAAGGCCTTATACCTCAGTCACAACACCAACCAACTCCAAACTTCTAAACCAACAAAATGATTCTTCGCAAAGGCAGTTATTTAATGCTGTATTCGGTCTGGTGTCGGTCTTGTTGGTGTGACAAAGGTGTTACTTCTTTCAATTTGGACCAAGGGTGAACATGATTATGCAGGACACCTGGATGACCTTACCATGCTATCTTTGTCCGTGTAATGGACCATCCATCCTTCCTTCAGGACTTGTGATCCTCTTCGCTTAGTATGTTTCACAGACTGCACAATACGCATGAGTGGAATGTTGTTGCTTTGAACAGGGCTGTAGGAAGGAGAAGGAACAATGAGATGCAACTTACATGTTTGTTTTTTACTCATTGACATTCCCTTGCTGATGAGATGACAATATTAAAGGACTGAATAGGATTCATTATCAGTCACAAGATCAACATCAGCCATTCATGTTCAACATTCTACTGTTAACCAGGGCTCAAATTAATTTTTTGTCCACGGGGGCTCTTCCCCCCCAAAAAAGAGCCCCTGTGAGCCTTCTCACGGGGGCTCTTTTAGTACTGACGGGGGCTCTTTTTTATACAAATATCCATTGAATTGGTACCTTTGATACTCCTCAATTATTTGCTATTTCATCATTATCATTTCTTCTTATCTTCTTCTCTTTCTTCTCAGTCTTTTTCTTTACTGGCTTCTTCGCTTTCTTGGGGGCTGCCTTGACTTTCTTTGCGGCATTTTCCCTCTTACAAATTTACAAGCTACATAGCTGTTACTGGCCTGTGTATACAATATATACGCATACAACACTGATCTTTATGATGTCTTTAACGTGACATATCTTCTTCTCTCCTTGCAAACGAGAAAGAAAACAAGGTCATTAAAAGGGATTAAGCGACAAATAATGATTGTGATTCAAATTGATGCGAATATTTGTTTGAATAAACAAAAAAGAAAACAAGGTTATTTAATAAAAGAATCATGGGACAAATAATCATTGTGATTCAAATTGATGCAAGGATTTTTTTTAATAAGCAATGTTTTTCACCCGAATCGTCTTTGTAAAAACAACTTTTACAAATCTCAGCCATGCTTACTGAGTTGAGACGTTCCATTCAATGTAAAATACTCATTAAAGAATACACTTCTCCTAATCTGAAAGTGATCTTACAACACAGTGGCAGATTTGCATGGCTGAGATTTGTAAAAGTTATTTTTACAAAGAAGATTCTGGTGAAAAGCATTGCTTATTCAAAAAAATCCTTGCATCAATTTGAATCACAATGATTATTTGTCGCATGATTCTTTTATTAAATAACCTTGTTTTCTTTTTTGTTTGCAGGGGGAAAAGAAGCTATGTCACGTTAAGAAATCATAAAGATCAGTTGTATTATGCGTATATACATATGATACCAGAACAAATGTTGATTATCAGAATGTCATTTTGGAATACCTCTATACAAATACCACATTGTCTTTAGCCCGTATCAGTATTAGTATGATCCAGTATAAAGCTATTATTCTTTATTTAATTCAGTATAATGCTTTTCCTCAAAAATAGTTTTGTTATTTTTTTAGGGTTGAGACGCTAAGAAATGGTTTCAAATGTACATTACACGAACCCTGAACCATTGCAAAATGATGGTGGTCTCTCTCTCTCTCTCTTTATTTTAATCATGCATTATCAACTACATATAAAGCAGCAACCAAAAACTTAGGGTTATCTGAGATAGGTGAAAGTAAGAGTTAAAAAGAAAGTCATGCTAAAACGGCGCTTCACTTCCCCCCGCCCCCTGAAAAAAATAAAATAGATTAGTAGTCCTCCTCTCCAGCACCCCCTCCCTGCTTTAATATCACATTTTCACTTGGCAGCCCAAGGGGGACAAGGGGGGGGGGGGGGGTTGGGGGTGGGAGGAGGGGGTTAAACCCCCTCCCCCCCCCCCCCCCCCCCCCCCCCCCCCCCCGTAGATCTGCCCATGTTACCATATCCTTCCACGACATCTTGTTCTCTTCATCTTCCTCTTCTTCTCAATAGGGACTTTTAGATTTGCGTGGACGTGTTACTTCCTTTTAAGGCACTGGCAGTCACATGTGACGTCCTTTTAAGCACTGGCAGTGCCTTAAAAGGAGGTCACACGTTGCAGTCCATGTTCTCAACGTGCAAATCTAAAAGTCCCTAATATTGATTTACTGGTCAAGGTTCATTATTTGCTGACAACGAAAAACTGACCATGTTTCTGCCCTTGCGCGATCGCCTCCAGCTCCAGCAGACATGGCGCGGCAGCCTAATAGGCCTATAAAACGAGAAATCTTGCACACTAATCTTAGTTCCATTTCATTGGTTTAAGGTTTGAAAATTGAAACTCAATATTGTGTTAAAGTTATAACAGAAAAGATAATCTTTATTTTATAATTCCACCGGGGCGATTTTTAATTTTGCAATCGTCCCCGTGAGCAACCTGATGGGGGCGATTATGTAGCTCATGGGGGCGAATTGCCCACCGCCCCAGTGTATTTTGAGCGCTGCTGTTAACAAATATCAGAGTTATCTCAACGGTTTAAAAATTATTTGGATTGTACTATGTGGTAAAGCTCACCTAAGTTCTGGTAATTGAATTACATTGTGAGAGAAAGTCAAAAAATAGCAATATTCTGGATTCGTCTAAAACACTAGATAGTTGTTCGATCAAACAAAATATAAACAAAAATACACAAATATACTGGACATAACTTTCAATGAAAAGCACAACTTATATTTGCACTTGTCCGTCTACGTGTTATGTATGCGATTGGACCAACTAGCAATATGTCCTCGTCATCCTTTGCTTTTTACTAAGCAATTACATATCCTCTATCAATATCACTTGGTAGATACCATTTATAAGCAGCCCTGAGCATGCAGTACACTTTCATTGGATTCTTTGACAAATGTATGTTTTGTCTTTATCAGAACCCAATACCACCTGTACTCACACAGTTTATGGCACATCTATGGTGAAGTATTTAAGAAACTTCTTGTAAAACATTTAATCTCATGCTTGTTTAATACTTCCTCTTTGAAACTGTTCCTACACAATGAGAGATGCATACCTGAGTGGATTTTCATTGACTGGGGAGTCCGGCAGTGTTTCATCTCCAATACTGTCCCTGTTTGATCCATTCTCATTCTCCTCAGCCTCATTCTCATCGCTCTCAATCAGCCTCTCCTGATCATCATTGTCTCCTAAATACATGGATGAGGCAAGAAATATACTGTGTCATGTATGTACATATATATATATATATATATATATATATATATATATAAAACCCTACATGGTACATTAAGTGGACATCATAAAAATCCTAACCCTAACCCTAACCCTAACCCTAACCCTAAAACCTAACCCTAAACCTAACCCTAACCCTAACCCTAACCCTAACCCTAATGTCTACTTAATGACTCATTTTTTCACTCCCAATGTCCTTCCAATGACGCCTTTAGTAAAATTACATATATAGAGAGAGATATATGACAAAATTGGGCCTTCCACGAGAAATAAAACGTAAAAAACGTTAAGAGGACACCAAATTGTCCTTCTAATGACAATGTCTACTTAATGACTCATTTTTTCACTCCAAATGTCCCTCTAATGACGCCTTTAGTAAAATATATATATATATATATATATATATATATATGTGTGTGTGTGTGTGTGTGTGTGTTAACAGACACAATAGACCACAGGGAAACCATATATTGTATCAGTCAACAACTACAGTTAGCACATATAAGCCATACAAGTTTGCTGTGTCCCTAGCAGAAGGGCATGAACAGACAGAGGATGTAAATTTGAAGAAAAACAAATTCCAAATCTTTGACCTTTCTTTGAGCACATCCACACAACACATTTCAATCTGTGTATCATCTTAATTGTAACAGTGATAGGTTATACTTATATACCTTAGATTTCTATCCTTTAATCGCAAAACTAAAAAAGGATGAACAATTTGAAAAATGTTGTGTTTGACATCTTTTACTGGGCACATGACAAACTTCTGTTGAATTTCCTTGTTCAAGTGAATAGGCCCATTGTAAGACCTCTCAAGGATTTACCTGATACATCTTAGAGGAAATACTTGGCTTTACAGTGCTTTGAGAATTATTTTATTGTATGGACATGCTAATGTACATTTAGTTTGTATTTTGATTGATGTAACCATACATCCTTTAGTGTCCGAATTTGAGGAAAGCTAAATAAACCATTATTATTTGAGAAGTTGCACCCCTGCCATTAAATAACAGTTCTAGGGAATACACTGACATTTCACATTTTTTAATTTCAAGCTTGCTCTGGAGAAAATGTCTCTATATAGAGGAAAATTTACGATCACTGATAGCTCCACTGATCTGATTTTCCTGTCCCAAGTCTTTCTTTCAAGTGAAATCTCATTGAAGTTCATATACGACTAGTAAACGTAGACTGTATGAGGTAGATTTCATGGCTTCCATCGCCCATTATAAGGAAGCCATGAGCATCACGGCTCAAACCAAGTCAGGAGCTTAGCAGAAAAATATTTTGTCATAAATGTAAAATGATTTCTTTAAGTTACATTTAAAAAAAATATAGAAATAGCAGATGATGAAATGTGTGCTTGAGAAAATCCTGAGCAAATTCCTATAAGTTGCATTTTATAGTCTCTGAAATATTAACCAGTCACTTCATTGAACATTCAGAGTACTGCAAATATTACAACCTTATATTTCAGTTCACTACTCCTGCTACACACCAGGGTATTACAATAATTCATATTATCAACTGTATCTGAGGCACTCATTGAAAGATAAACAAACTAAACTATAGTGCACAAGCCTAGGACCTCCTGATTCCAAGATTCACTGGGCCATCATAGTTCTGGAAGTAAACCTTAAAATGTATCCTCTTGATCTAGTGATAAATGAAAATTGCTTCAAACCTACCTTCTTGCAATGGTGTTTCCCCTAGACAGTCTTTAGGAACCTTGTCAGCACATCTTTTGTGGCAGTTGAATTTACAATCTAAAGAGAAATAAGGAAAAGAAAATGTTCTTATTTCAGTTATTTGTTGGATTGCGGGGAGATTCTGAAAACACTGTAAGTGTGACAAGTCTCTTTGATTACATAATCAGACTTTAACAAACAAAGTTCTCCAAAAAGGTAATTTGTAATAGACCTGTCTTGTCTTTGCCAACATGCATTCAATCCCAGACTTAAGGATCAAAATAATTCATATTTATTTTTTGTTTAAAAAAAAAACAGAACTTGAAATGAAAGCCATACCTTTGCATTGAAGTCCCTGACGGAATAGCCCTACCAGAAGCCTTTTGCAGTACTGGCAGATGGTTGGCTTAGTGTAGTTGTGTACAACAAACGTGTGGGGCACCTTGATGCGACTGGCTACTGCCCTCTCTACCCATAGTGGCCTGTTGCCCCATGACGGTGACCGGCGCTCCTTGTAGCTGTCGCTCTTCACTAGGGGAGTCTGCTGGGAGTGGGTTACAAATACTGCAAGCTGCTGCTGCTGCTGCTGCTGGTAGTGGAAATATCAACAATTATAGAAAATATAGTTACCCGGTTAGAGAAATGTATAACCTGTTACTACCACTATCAAAAATCCATGGAAGATAGTATATCTTCACTCAAAGGGGTTGACATGGTTAAAAGCCAGGGATAGTGAGTAGTAATAAGTGTTAAGAAAGTGCCATTTGATTCTCACTCATTCTGTTGATGATATCATTGTAAAGGGCATTTGAACAAGCATATTAATTATTACATATACTTGTAAATACATCATCATTATCACCATCATTTTTATACATGTACAAAAACATGTATACACCTGTAGATAACTTCTAAATGCTGCCTACACTGGAATGGAATCTTGAATTTCACCTGGAAAGTATTGGGATAATTAATTATCAAAGAAGTAGTGTTTCCAAGAAAATTGGCCCTGAAAATAATGGAAAATTGAGGGAGAAAATAGAAGGAATCACTACATGAATCCTTGCATCTCTTTTTTTAAAGAAAAATAAGAATGAAAAATCTGTATAAATTTTCATTTTCTTTTGTTATATAAATAACATAAAAACTTGCAACTCCAAAAGCATTTTTATAGTACATGTATACAATTTTATTTACACTGTATGCTTGGCAACAAACATATTTTTTCTAGTTTTAATGTAACAAAGTCACACTTCCTTTTAATGTACATTAGTTTGTACACAGTGTACTTAATATGCACCCATGCACATTGTGTACTCTACTATGACTGACTCATGGGGGTACGGTCATGCTACTATGCTTAGTTTATGGAACACAAGTTGTAATCATATCTTGCTTTTATTTGAGTCATCAATGATGACATGGGGGCCGTACAAGTCTGCTGAGTTTCAATGCTAGATTCATACTGTCTTCAACAGTACATTAACATTACTCCTTTTATGATAAGACTGGCACACTTGTTTATATAAAGAAGGCTTAAGAATACTAAACACTCTAATTAGTATTTGTATTTGTAATTTTGATAAATTTTAAATAGCGCCTACGACCACCCAATAGTAGCTGCAACCATGAAAATCTCAGAATATGATGTTGCGATATATAATTTCCAAACAGGAATAGCCAATCGATCAATTTTAGTCAAGAAACATTGTTTTATAGCTAAATTAATATCTTGACCTTGAGAGGGAGCTATACAACATACATGTAAGAGTTTTTTATTTACAATGTCAACACTTTAAGACTCAATTTCAACCGCGACAACGATCACTGAATATTGTAGGGTCGCATATGCTTCCAATATGTTAATTTGAACCAAATTCGTGACCAATACTAAAACTGTGTATTTCCTTTAACATGGGCATAAATATACATGAACCCTTCTGGTAAAATGAGAACAAAATAAATGTAACAACACACCCAACCAACTACTTCTCTTTTTTGTCAAATGTGTGGAATTGGTATTTATTTAACACAGCAAATATAATTAATGATAGACTTTGATTGATATCAGGTCCTAAATCATGAGAGGACCAAGGAGACAGGTGTTCCATTCTGAAGGATTTTAAATATTGCAAACCACACCCTACAGAGGCTGGAAACAAAATATGAGCTAGAAATAATTGACCCTCTAAAGTTGTATTGACATTAGGCTTCTTTTTAAAGTCCTACAAGTATGCACAGCAGGTATTGCAAGTTATAAAGAGAGGGAATAAAAAGCAAACACAGAGTGAGAGAGTGAGAAAGAAAACCAGAGAGAGAGAGAGAGAATGAGAGAGGAAGAAGAAGAGGGGACTCAGGGGACTAGCAACAGAACAAGAGAGATAATGAAGTGGGCAAATAAAAGAATGTTTAAAAGCAGTGGAGTACAAGGGAATTAATTCAAGATAAGTAAAGAAAGATGAATCTGGATCAGAATAAGAAAACAATATATAATGATACTGATGACAGGAGACAAATATCGGAAACAAGAAAATGAGAGGTGAGGGAAAAGAGAAGGAAGTACTACAAAATGGAAGTAATAATAAAGAAAAGACAAAGGAACAATAACAACGCAAAAGCAAAGAAAAGAAACAGAGAAAGAGAGGGATAAAATGCACACAAAAAAGTGAGAGAGATAATAAGCCTCTGAGCCCCAAGGTCTTGCAATATCAAAACAAGCGAACTTCAAAATTGTTTGCATGCGATTGAAAACCTGAATGGAACCATTATGGCACCCTGTTGATACAGTCACAAGGGTGGCTCTAATAAGAAAGAAAGGGCAGCTTTCTATTGTCTCCTTCTTCAGGAAACGTATGAACTACACAAGTACTTTATAACATAGAGAACAGAACAGAATATCAGGAAACAAATTGAAAATCGAATTCTGGTGAGATTGTAGGTAGTGAGGTCACCAACAGCACAAACAAATATAATTTTGCTAAAGAAATATAAATAACTTGTGATATGTACATTGTACAAGTAGGTGAATAAATACATGTATGCTTTCATTTGTTCTACAAATGACTAATGCTCTTTGAAGAGCACAACGTAGATAGAGTTTCCTCTAACCTGAAGGGAGTACCATTAAATTGTACAATAGAAAAGGATAGTACACAAGACATATCATCTTTGTAGTAATCCTTTCAAATCATACAATGGTCTTTTCTAATAACAGTGTACATGTACATGTAGATCATCTATTCCTTGTAAGGTATCACAAAACACAATTCAAAGACATGAGATCATTACAAGAAATGGGATTGTGATTTGATTAAACTTACCTGAGAATCTTCACTGGACAAACTGGTCTCAGATGGAGACCAGGGAATACTGGAGGAGGAAATCGCTAAGGAAGAGCGCCGTCGCTTGGATAACGTGCAGTCATTGGGAATTTTGAAAGCGCACCGTTTGTGGTAGTTACCCCCACACCCTATTGTAAGAGAACATAAACATAGATACATTTCATAACAGGTGTACATTAGGTAGTATGATTGCATACCACATAAATGTGGCAAGTAAACCTCAACCCAAAGAATAAGTGTAAGCATGCTGAAAGATGAGATTTATCCCTGCCTTTTGATGTTCAATATACCTTATGAAAGTGTACAAGAGATGAAGATATTCTTGGCATGGGGTAATGCCTTTTAAGTTTTAGCATGACATAGGCACAGTCCTTTTCTGGATAATGTGATGTACCAGACAAACTTGTATGTATACATGTATCATGCATCAAGCTTTAGTTGGAAATACTTTTAATTTAACTTTTTAGTGAAGTTTGCGTTCTGACAATTAGAGTACAAAAGATAACAGGTGAATGAAATACTTCCTCACCACACATACATGTACACACATGTTGGAAGGAAGCATCAATAATTGTGAATACATTCAATTGTTAAACGACTTTCAATAGTACATTACAATGCAATGTAAATGTACGTTATCAGGAAAATAGCAATGCCCATGTCGTGCCCAACATCCCTATATAAACTATAAACCAAGATCCCAATTTGTTAACTGGTGATCTTTTGTCCCGTAAAATAGACACAAAATTTAGATAATAAAAGTACTGAACTCACCATCACATTTCAGTCCTTGTCTCACTAATCCAAACAGCATTTGACCACAAAAGTCACAGAATGTTGGACTCTTGTAGGAGTGGACATATAATGTGTGAGGCCGGATCTGTCGGTCTTCAACTGTAGCAGAAGCTGTAGTGACCAATGTATTTATGGAGGTGAAGAGGAAAGAAGGAAAGACAGACAGAAAAATAACTATCACCTTCTTATATTCATTTTTAAAAGGGGCTCTATAAACTACTTGTACCTTTCCTACATTTAGCTGTTTAGGATGTTAATTTAAGTGATTATACTAAAGCTTGAAAAATTAACAAAAGGCAGTTTAATAATACACTTTCATGTTCTTGATGTTTAAGATTAATTCCACTTTAAAAAATAGTAATTATGTGGGTTTGCAAAATAAACAATATACATGTAATATGTGTATATAAAGCAAATCAAACTTAAAAAATGGTGCTCAATAAGCAAAATATGCTATTATCTATTGTAAACTGTGCCAAGCAGTTTAAAACAAATGCAGTAAAACTTGTTTAAGTGTAATCCTGCACTAGAGGCTTCAATTAGAAGTGTCAAAATACAAAGGAAATACTTCATACGTCACTTAAATTCTGTATTATAATATCTCAGATACATTACAGTACCAGTAAATATTATAGGAAGTATCATTGCCCTTATCACAGCAATTAATGCAATGATCAGATCCTTATGATAAAAGATAAAGAGTGGGCAAGGGTCCTCAAATAATCAGTTAAATATTCAAAATTTCTCATAGAACAAGCAACAATTGGAAGCATTAATATCAAATCTATAATCTGTTGCCCACATATTTTACATTTGCTTGATAAAAACATATTTTCTGGGATCTGGACTGCAATTTGTTTACCCTTGTTAACAAATTGTACATTTATTGTTGGCATGCTTGGTAGTAAAGTTGAACAGCACTCATGCATGCTTCTCAGCAGCTTGAATCATTTCTATTTTCTAATCATTATTAAGAGTATGGGTACATATTTGTGTTGTGCATGTCTTTACAACTATATGAAAGTTAAACATATATATATATATATGTCTACATGTACATGTAGAGACAAGCTATTACTATCTAGTAAAACAAATCATGGCTACTCCAGACAGAGAACAGTAGTTTTTTTCATACACTAGGGTCCAAATTTAAAAGTAAAATAGCAACAACAACAAAATATTTCTGCCTGGTAAAGCTCATATTCAAAAAAACAAAAAAACAAGCAAAAGCTATCGCTTTACAAAGAGTACAGATTCACAGAAACTTTATAGAACAATCCAAAACACAGTAATACACTTCATTAGGTCTACAATAAGAAATGCATTCTACATTTATCAAAGGGCGAACAACAATCAGTTTTAAAAAGTGTGAGGGAATGTAGCATTACAATTTGGGGCAGCTTTGATGGTTAATATCAAAATGACTGCAAAGGACAGGGTAATTTGTAGTGAGAATTTGATAAGCATGCAACAAGGAAAGAATGGGAAATAAAAGACAATCAAATTAATCCCCCAAACAGTACAAGTTTCGTATCCCCCCTTCATATTTCATTAGATATTATATTATGTACAACTAATGTACTGTAATCCAAGAACTCATTACTCTCAGTTTTCCAGTTTTAAGATACCAAAGAAAGAGCAAAATTTAATAATTCTATCCAACCAAAAAAATATGAGAGAAATTGAGGAAAACTAATAATATTAATAATATAATGCTCACCAAATACAGCAGAGAGCATGTACCGGTAAATGCAATTTGTTCACATATATACGGAAGCATCCAGTACATGGATATGTGAGCTTATATTTAATAAAATTAACAGCAAGGAGGATTTTGCATACTTAACTATCTCTCCTGAAATACAAATTGTCTTGATATAAATTGTAGCAAAATAAAATGTTTGCATTATTGTGCTTGCGTGACAACAAAGTTTTAATCAGACCTGCATAGGTTAAATACAAGTTTATTCATATTACACTTACAGAAACAGAACTGAAGCCCTGCATTTGAATTCATGATGGTTGAAAAAAATAAGGAAGTTAATAATCTACAATAAAAGTGGTATTTTTGACTAGGTATATGTACTTGCCCGAAGAGGGATTTTGGCTGACGAGGTCATTCATTCGGCTACCATCCCACTGATCTGCAGTCAAGACAATCAATGAAGGGCACACATTGACAAACATGGAGGATGAGGAGGAGGAGGAGGAGGAGGTGGACAGGGAGAATGGAAGGAGGAAAAGGAGGCAGAGGTTGACAACAATTTTCATATACATGTTTACACAATCAGATTAAAGTCAACAAACAACATGCAAACAGGGAAAGTAGCTCTTCAAATTAAACATGACAGGGTCAGGGTGCAGGATATACCATGCATTACAGGGACATGCAATGAAAATATTTATCATGAACAAAAATGTACCACTACCACTCAAAGAAACTGCTTTCCTGAAGTCCATATCCAATGTTTGCACTTTCCTCAAAGTAGGAAAATATTATTTATGTAGGTACATTGTAGGTCAAAAAGAATTAATTTTCGAAAGTGGGTATTTTAGCTCGCTTTTTCAAATAGGAAGTGTAATAACAATGTACAACTTTTGTAGAATTGCCAGCTAAAGAACAACAGGAAATGGTAACTTCTGTGAAATAGCGAGATCTCCATGCACATAACCATATACTTGAAGGAATATTGAAAAGAATGTACATGTACATTATGGCATAAATAAAAAAGGAGCATGCAATTTAAAAAAAAATATGATACAAAATCATGCCACAAATACATGTACTGTAGGTGTAATTTTGCATTTATGAGACCACCTCATATACATGTATGTGGACATGTACTGGTCAAGTCAATTCAGAAAGTGTTCTTGTTCCTAAGACTTTAATTTCCTGTTAAAATCATTACCACACTTTCCTCTTCTAGTTTTAATGAAAGTTTGAATTGCATGTACTGTAGGCCTATAATGTACATGTACATACATTTTCATACCTTGGTAATAAAAAGTACAGGTGATGTAAAATTTGGTTAGTCAAAAGTTAAAATGTGTAGCAATGAAGAAAATTGCTCTCTTCAAATTACCATTTTAAAAACTAAGAATGTCTTTTAATCCCTTGGAATTTTCACACTTCACATAATGTACGAAATTGACTGGCAACCAAAATGTACCATAAACTTGTAATTATCAAAAAAGTGATTTTCACTATTTTTTTCTGATTGTCTTATATGTAGCATAAAGTGCATATTTGATTGTGCCTCTATACTTTTAACTAAGATTTTGCCAAATGTTAAATCATGTACATTTTCTTCATGTACATGTAGAAAAAAATTATAAAACCAAACAAATCTCTAGCAATACCATAAAAGACATGCAAAGAACAAAAATCTTTTCATACATATTGGAAAATCATATTGAATACAAATATAAAACAGTCACTATAAACTTGATTTAAACAATTAATGAAATGCATTATATGTACAAGGATATCACTACGATTAAAGTAAGTTCATGCAATCATTGCTAAACTTCATACTTATAAAAGATATAAGACAAATAATGAATAAAATCATCATCTGCAAAACTGATTTTATGTATTTAATAAATTTAAATAAATAAAATACAAGTATTAATCCTTATTTCTAAACACAAGTCAAGGAGTATGGCAGCCTACAGTGTACTGTATGTACATGACATGTACATGTACTTGTACATACATGTAGGTCTGTAACCGATCATCGGATCGGGGGCCGATCTTGAGCCAATCAGGTGTGATCGGATAATAATTTCTGATCGCGATCAATAAAAATGATTGCCTACATTATAATACAAGATGGCGGCCTGCATGTTTTGCCTCTTCACTTAGAACAATATTATTAATTTCAAAGTCATGAAAAGGCACTAAATATCAACCAACATGGTCTACAATAACTCCAAATGACAAAATAATCCCAGCTATGAAATTTTTTTAAGCATTTGATAGCCAAAAACTTGAAAATGTTCGCATTAAATTTTTTTTTTTTAAATGAAATAAAAAAATCTGCCAATTTTTTTCGCAGATTATTTTTACCAATTACGATCACAGGTGCGACGATGTTGCTCTGATCTTCCGATCCGATCAAAGCCCCAACTTACAGGGTTACTTGTACATGTAGATATTATTTTCCTTTTTTTTTCTGTGAGGGTCAGGTTTGATTTTAAATCTAGTTACATTACTGTCATGCAATGGTCGCTCAGTTAGAAAGTGTTTTTTTCAATGGATAAGTGATTCATAAAATTATCTGAGCTGAAGTACCTGTAAGCAATTTGATTGACCTCTTTGGGACTGCTGGTGTAACCAGTCGATACCATTAGCAAATCCCAATTGCACAACATATTAAACCAGAACCTCAATGAAGTAGGGCTCATCCATCCGGCATCCAGCTCAAACAATCGTCACAATTTCATTTCTCTACTAAATTGGTTGGGAAAGGTGAAAGAAAAACTTTTTTTTGGGGGGGGGGGGTGGGGTAATAAACAAAGGACAAGAAGGATTTTTTGTTTCGAATATATTTGCATAAATTATACTCATATATTTTTGAGGCAAAAAAATGACATTCTGTGTAAGTGGTCTGTGTATCTGATTTAGATGTACCAGATAAAACAAATAAATCAAAATATGAAGTACAGTGTAGAAGAAACATTTTTGGATTTTATTTAAAAACTAATGAATAAATTTGCATAAATTAGAATTAATTACGCAACAGTTCAACATTCTGTGTACCGTATCTCAAACCTAGCTCAAACAAACATTTTCTATATTTTTCTTTTGGGGGGGGGGGGGGGAATACATTTGCATAAATCATAAGTAACATTTGAGGTAAATTTCAAATTCTGTTCAGAATTTTCAAAATCTCACGTACAAGATGAAACCAAAAGAAAAATTTAATTGGTCTATAAAAGATGGAGAAGAAGCATTTTTTGTCATTTTAAATAAATTTGCATAAATAAAGAATTCACAATTCTGTGTTGAAGTTTCAAATTCCTACCTAGCCATCATCCTATCATATATAGCAAACAGAATCGAAATGAAAAAGAAGAAGCATTTTGAATTTGTGGACTGACGAAAGACGCTGGATGCTGGAAAACGGACGCCACGCTTTAGTATACACCGATTCGGGCGACTTCTGGTGGAAGTGCGCCCTCATAAGGTGACGCCATAACTGGGGGGCGTCTGACTGCAGCTAGCTAGCTTACATTGCAACGGGTATGCTATACCTATACCGAACCTCGCCCAGGCCGGCCAGGGTCGCTGCTCCGCTAGCTAGTAACCGCTCTCGAGCTCTCTGTACTGTCAGCTGGATCGGAGAAGCCCCCCAGTTATAGCGCCGCCACCGGCGGGCAGGTACATAAAACCCCCAAACCGAATCGGTGTATAAGCTCATCACGGCCATTTTTAAGGGTTAACTTCCCCTTTAACATGTACATGTATCGCAAGGTACGTGTGATTTACATATAAAAGGTATTCATAAAGCCCAGTATTTAGGTTTACATGTATAAATTTGCTATTGCAATAGAGCAATAGCAAGTTGTGAAAATAAAGATATCATGCTCCACTTCATGCTCCGGTATTCATGCAATGCCAATAGATGTACTTTCACACTGGCACTTTGCATTGTTCCCATTGCATGAATGTATAAAGGCTTTTTAAATAAACTCATTTAATGAGTTTAATATCAAAAATAAAAATAATATGAATAAATCAGGACTTGAGAATTTTTTTTATCAACCTACATGTACGTGTATCAAAGGAAGTTATGTATTTTATATAGTATTCCTAATTTAAAGAACATTTTAATATAATACTTTAATAAAAAAGATATTAATATCTTTAATATACATACGATGTAGTTACTGTTAAAACAAGTGTTATGAAAGAAGTAACAGTCAATTTAAATATTTCTAAAATACAGACAACATGTTCACTGGCAGCTGATGCAAATGTTCTGTTATCTCCTAAACTATGGTCTATTAATTAAATTTTATGACTGTCAAAGTACCATGTTAGTGTTAGCAAAATATCACTGAGTGAACTGTTGCAGACTTTAAACTAACAACTTTCACAATGGCTCACAACAAACAAATTAATATGATAATTTTCTAATGAGAGGCACATTTAAAAAGTTCAAAGTGAAAAGTTGAGCACTCATGCAATTTGTTCATTACTGAAATGAGTGAAGATGAGAATGTGTTTTCTTACCGGATAACACAGCCTCAATAAGGGCACCCTCCGTCACATCGCTAACTGATGTTACGGGTGTGAGAGAGTAGCTTGTACCTGGGTTGTGCTTGAACAGCAGAAGCTTGTCATATACTCCATAAAAATCATGCTCTGGAAACTGCAAGATCAAAACAAAGAAAATTCATTTAAAGTGTATCCATTGCTCAGGTTTTTACTCAATATTCCCTCTCTAAAATAATCATAGTATGAAGACAGACCTAGTAAATTTAGGCTGGTCCACACTGAAAATAAAAAATAAAAAAAATTACTGTAATTACTGGTAGTATTATGTCCGAATGTAACACAATTAGTAACTAGTATTTAACGATTATGAGTGATAAGGTAAAATTATTTCAAGAAGTGAAAAGATAAATAAAATTCCATTCAACAAAGCGGTAGCCAACATGATCATTACTAATAAATAGCCAGGCAAATACATCAATATAAATAAGAAGTTCTTAAGAACATATACATGTAAATGCTATCATTTTCAGCATCATCATCATTTTTTAGCATTTCTAGCAAGATAGACATAATATAGTTAAGCTATTATTATATGAGAGGTGTCATGGTCTAGTGGATAAGTTGCTGGACTGCAGATCGCATGATTCGCGGTTCAAGTCCCACTGCAGCACTATTGTCTTTTGACAAGACATTAATCTACATTTGCCACACTCCACTCAGGTGTTCAATGGGTATACCCGGTAGGATGGGAATGATAATGATAAAGTGGTTGGATTGGCATGTGTGCCCTTGTAAAATGGCGCCTGGCCGGAATACTCCCCGAGGCATTGGAGCATGTGCACTTATCATGTGCGAATTAGCAATTGAATCTAATGACTGGGTTAATAATTAAAAATGTAAAGTTATATAGAGTGATTAAGCGCTAAATACAAATGTGACTACATGTATTATACTTTTACGACTTTCCAATTTTTGAAATCCCTTGATGCCTTCCAGCTAGTTCTGCAATGAGCAGCATTCCCAGGCACTGCCAGAGGAAGTTATCAGCAGCCTGTATCATGAGCACAGCCTACGCAGCCAACGCAGAGAATCGTATCACAGACTAGAAATTTGTGAATCAAAATGTACCGGTAGGCCTATCAAACTATAATACATACAGGGTAAATTTAGTGCTCTGCACTTATTCTTCATGGGGTCAAGAGAAAAATATTTGGGGACTGTGTAAACTACATCTATGTTATCTTCATTGTACATATACATGTAATGTACCAGTATACATTCATACGTTTGTGGGGGATCATAACTGATATTTGGGTGAAGGGTCTGAGCATTTTGGTCCCTTGAAACGGTAGAGCTGTACATGCAGGGGCTGTCTTGCATGTAGATTACAGGATGTATTTCTAATGTATAACCGTAGAAAATCTACAAATCTACACCTCTCTAATGTGTGACCATAACAACATGTACATGTACACTGAATTTGCAGGTTAGTGAGCAGGAAGAGCCCTTTCCCACTTACAGACACTCTTATGTAATCAATGTCTTTCCTGTGACTGTTAGCCCATGGTTAGCCCATGCAGCGTTTTCATGTCATCATACAGTACTTTCAATAATCCAATCTCATTCATGTGAAATTCCTTCACATTTTTATGGCTCATGCACAATACATGAACCTACAAATGTAAAGCAAATATAATAATGAATAGCTTGACTTTAACATTTGATGATTGTATGTACATACATGTATATGTACTGTATTGTTCATTTACTAGAAGTTAATCAGAGATTGAAAAATTCATGTTGCGTCCTGATTATCTTGAAGAGGTCTCATACAACATTGGTCTGCACTATAATTCAGTATAATTACTGGGATGTTTTTAACAATTTTTGGAATGTTGAAATTTCAGATCAAAATATATTATCATGTACCAAGGCTTCAAATCAACTAAAACTATTTCTGTTGGGCTACAAAATTTCAACAGCCAGAGGCAGAGGTCAATTTTGGTTGCCCCTTCAAAACAGTAGTTTTAGCCTATTTTCAGTGTGATTCTGTTGTTCAATTTATATCATTCCACTTGTAAAAACATTAATTTGTCACTGCTATTTCTTCATTTCTACTCATTAAGGTCTGGTGGCCTACATGTGAGTAGCATGTTTCCGCATGTTTGGTTGGCCAACAGGCTATGTACATTGCAAAGATAGACCTACAAACAAATGAAATTTTATACATAACAGTGGGGGGGGGGGGGGGGGGAGGATTATAAAATATCTACCGGTAGCTATTTATAAAGGGGCTGAAAAGAAATGCAAACTTGGCTTTCAAATTACTGGCATTATCTGATATTCAAGAATTGGTCACTACAATTTCTTTTCAACAAAAGTTGCTTGTACATACGTGTGTACACTGTAAAATAGGGACATAACAGTGAGTACACTGTCCCCCTGTCCACACACAACATTTTCCGTGATCAGGCATGACCATTTCGCAATAGTTATACAATGAAATTGTGTGAGTGGACGTTCACTAAAGATACGTCGTATAACGAAACGCAGGTTTGGGCATCGTTTCGAACTAGAACTCAATAAAGAATCACGCCTAATCACGGAAGGTGTTGTGTGTGGACGTAACTAGTGTAACTAGTGTAATTAACTGGGCGGGGCTTAACGTGACCTCGCGCGAAAGGAGACCTGACCTCTAATTTTTCTTCCATTTCATGACCGACTTAGCAAACTGCGCACCTATACAACATTTCGCTGTAGAGTTGCAGGATTACTTTCTTCTGTGTGTGGACATCCTGGAATTTATACGATGATTATTTATACGACGTTTCTGGTGTGTGGACACTCTGAAATTTATACGATGATTCTTTATACGATGATTCTTTATACGACGTTTCATTATAGAGTTTCGGGATAAATTGTTTTGTGTGTGGACACGCTGTGTGATACATGTACATGCGCAGTGATGCGATGTTAGAAACATATCATGTAAACCTGTTAAACTCTAATCCATGAGCTGTCATAGCAGCAATCTCTGTGCTAGCCTCATGTTCTGACTTCATGATGAGTAATACAACACTGATCTACAGCATCAGGCTAATATGAATGACAAGAGCAGTACATGTACTGTATATACTGTATTTTACTGTACCCCATTTTGCAAAATGTTTAATCAAATTATTTTTATATAAAAGATAACGAAAATTTTGTGATGAGAGCCAAATTAGAATGAGGCCTTCTAAATATCTAAATGATATTGTGCATAGCATTCCCTTGCCTCCAATCATTAAACAAAATTGAGCTGGTACATGTACAGTGGTTACATTCCAATGTCTGCAAATGTGCAATGACATGATTTATGAAAATTTTGAACTACTTTTGTAAATTACAGTTGTCATTTCTTTGTAGTAGCAGCACACCTTTATCACTAACAGCAATCCCTGACAAAAATGTAAAAAAAAGGGTAAGGTCTTCAAAAATTGGCAGTGCACAAGTACGGTAGTCACTTTGAGCAAATGAAATGGCAATCAAGATTCAAGAACGATTGAATCAAACTCTCCAGTAATTCACAATAATACTGAAATTGTGTTTTTGTTCTTACAGTACTTCAGAAAAACATAGAGAAAGCTAATACTTTACAATGCCTTTATACTGTACAACATATATTCATGTACATTGTACATGTACAGTGCAGACGGAGGTGACTGATAATTTGGTCTAACTATTTTGCGATACTAAATTCCATGAAGTGTAAACGTCAGCCACTTAATAGGCAAGAAACTTCACAAAAAGCAAATATTCAGTCATATAAGTTGCTATTCAATCACTTCATAGCATGATACTTTTGCATATTATCTGAACCTTAAAGGTTTTATGCATACAAAGTTTGTAATTTAACAGAACTCCAGTGCCGCGAGCTCCAGAAAATGAGTAGAATTGGCATAACTTGTATGCATTGACACTAAATCTTTCTTGGTTTACTTCATTTTACTTATCATTTTACATTATCACTTTAAAGGCATGATACATACCCATGTTCACAGAGTAAAAATAGCTTCTGTGGGTTTGGTTTGAACATAGAGGTTTTAAAGAAGCTAAAATATGATAATGACTAATGAGTTGGCACTAGATTATTAAAAAAAATTTTTTTAATAGTCTAGTTTATTCTGGCATCATGCACACTTGCATGTTATACATGATACTGTACTGTACATGTACGTATTTGTACAACTTGTACAAAAGTACAAAATTACTACAGGAAAAATATTATAAGCCACAAGCAAGTGTGATGTAACATAAAATACACAAAGCCTAAAGTTTGCCACCTACATGTACAAATGTAAGAAAGAAACACCTTCACAATTCAAATCTTCCTTCATCATTCATATTATGAAATTGATTGAAAAGAACTGTGGCTTCTGTCTTAAAACATATCAACCATGCCTATATTGCATCCTTTGTCACACTCAAGAGTGCCTAGCTCATACTGACAGTGTGTATACACCACACCAATCATGAATTATTCACCCTTACCATCAGCAAATGTGCCTGTAATCAATTAGCATGTTAAGGACAGTTTGCCAGCCAACCCTAGCCCCAATTGTTTTACATCGAAGGTAGTCCCGCTGGTAAGAATTAATTCATTTAATAATGGGCCCCTATTGATAAAGCCTCTAATTAGGAAGGAAAGCAGAAGTGTTTTTACATGTTCAAATGTATACTGTACATATTGGGCCTACAGTACGGTTCTGCTATCATTCAATGTACTATCAAGCGACTTCAAATCTATCATTAATTCATAATTATAACAAAGTCCTCCCTTAGTTTCAATACGCTTTGTATATTCTGCAAAAAATTATTATTAATCTTTTTGAGAACCTAATGGCAAATCTATTCTGACTACATAAACTTTTGATCCCACCAATGAAAAAAAATACAAATTCAAACTGAAAAGTAATATATCAATTTTTCTTGTTGAGAAATAGAGTTTGAAAAGTAAAGGGATTCATGTTTTTTAATTATTAAAAATATTAAAACAAGGCTTTAATTTGACAAATAGAAAAAATAGTTATCTCAAATTTCCACCCACAAATATATACAGTATGTAACATTTTGTTTCAGTATTATAAACAACATTACAGCTCTTCATCATGA